ATCATCTGTTTCATATTGCTAAGTTCCAAGTTTAACAGACGAGCGGATGATTTCTTGCGCGCTGTCGGGCATTCACTCATACAATTAAGGTGGCATGAATTTCTACTTGTAGGGGTTTGTATGTCCTTTTCTGGACCGCACTCTTCAACGACAACAAAACTCATTTTCAGGACAACAAAACAACTTTTCAATACTCTCCTTTTCAGGAAAACACTCTTCAATAAATACATGACTGTCCTTTTCAGGAAAAAAATCTTCAACGGTTACAAAATCTTTTTCATGACAACACTCTTCAACGACTACAAAAATGCCTTCTTCAGGACAACAATTCTCAAGGATTACAAAACTGTCCCTTTCAGAACAACACCCTTCAACGGCTGCCAAACTGTCCTTTTCAGGACAACGCTCTTAAACGCTCTTCTCCCCCTCCACATGGACATGCAGGGATATTTTTGTCTAGTGCACCGTAACCTTATTTTTTTCGATGTACTTTCTTTAACAAAAATAAATTTGCCAATACATATATATATATATTTTAACTCAAGTTTTCGTTTTGTTGTCTTTCGTCATTCAATATCTGCTTGCGGATCAATATACCCCACCAGCAACATGTATAATGAAGTGGTGAATGTGTTATTCCTGGATTCTACAAGAGAGTCTATGAATGGGAATTTTTTTTGTTGAAGTTCGTAGGTAAATCTAAGAACAGATTTTTTTTTTCTTAAATGAATTTTGAGATTTCCGATTTCTTTTTTTATCTTCAGCAAAAATAAACAGATCATCTCCATATCCTGGCATATATTTTGGCTTTTATAACTTTTTCAAATACGTTATTTTCGACATGAGACTAATTGGAGAAACACGTCAAAGTGGATTTCCCATGTTAACACCGTTAGTTTGTACATAATTCCAGCGGTTCCTCGACTTACGCCGGAGATTCGTTCCTACGGCGCGACGTAACTTACTTATATAGTCTGCCTTACACTTGGGCGCCATAATGAAGGGCAAAAGTCCCCCGCTCAAAAAAACAAAAAAAAACAAAAAAAAACGACACAAACGAGAGATAGCAAATATAGCACTATCCAATATGGCGTACAACCAGTGAAGATACAACACAGTCTTCCTTATATAGCGCCGTGTGACGATGTTATGGGAGATGGTGCCGTAACCAAAAAACGCCGCACGCTGGGTCCGACGTAAACCGAGGATCTTCTGTATTGCTTTTATGATCGTAGAAAAGGACATTATTTGTGCAAGTGTGCTGTAATTTCCTGAGAATGATAGATCTGATGGATGGAGATGAAATCGAATTATGCTTAAAAAAAAAAGTTACAGATTATATAGAGGATTGTAAACAGATTTTATACAAGAAGAAAGGATCAAATGTCTCATTTTGGTTGTGTTGATTTAAGGATTTGGAAAAAATGAGTAGACTTGATACAATAATTAGTAGGTAGAGACGGGTGAATAAGATCATTGACGAATTTTGATGCCCCCCGCTGTTCGTCTTAAGGCGCTCGACAAAATCCAGAGACGAATATGCAATGTGGTTAGCCCTGCTCTGGCATGTCGTTTACAGTCACTCCCTCACAGACGTGCCGTCGCCTCTCTCTATCTTGTCTACAAATGCTTTCACGGTAACTGCTCCCACGAACTATTTTCACTAGTTCCCAAACTGCATGAAATGAAACGTGCTACTAGGTCGGCATCTAAGCCCCACCCTTTCGCTGTCGAAACGGTTAAATGTAACCGTCTCTTCTACTCCAATAGCTTCATGTCTCGCACTTCCCGTCTGTGGAACTCCCTTCCTCTTACTTGCTTCCCCAAGAGCTATAATCTCCAACTATTCAAATGCAATGTCAATGGACATCTCCAGATGCCTTGATATATTCTCTTCATCCTTTCCTCTATCACGCCTCTTTACTCTTGCTCCCACTTTCTGTAACCCCTTGCGTGCTAGTGACACTCCCGCCTTGCTTGGGATGAAAAGCTTAAAAAAAAAAAAAAAAAAAAAAAAAAAAAAAAAAGGAGTTGCGTTCTGTAAAATGATGGACCGTAGTGAATATCCAGATTTATGTATTTTAAAATTTCCGTATAGGTATCCTGGTTGGTAATCTCTGGTGATTTTGTTAATTTTCAAGGATCCTACATCAGCATGATTTTATAAGGTTGCTGACGAAATTTATATATATATATATATATATATATATATATATTCTCTTTTGCAAATTGATTGAAACAAAGCGAATAATTCCGTTATTATTTACTTTTTTTCATATTTTCCCCATGAAACATGACCCAGTGCACATGTTAGTACCTCGTATATCCATTCCATTGAAGACGTTCCTTGCAGATTGACCACAAATTCTCGATTGGATTTCAATCAGGGGAGTTTTCCGGGCCAATCTATAGTACTTTGATTTGCTCGCGGGTAAGGCTTGCCAGTGTGTTCGTGCAGCGTTGCAATATTCGTACGCTTCCTCGGAGTAACGTCCATTTC